AATTATCTTGAGTTTTAAGGGAAAGAAAATAGTTAAAAACTTATTATAATAATAATTTAAAATAAATTTTAAGACATCTTATTGAAATTTTTTTTACAAAGACTTTTTATGTTAAAATAGATTATCCTCATCAAAAACAGTTCGCTTATAATGATTTCATCACCAGGATATATCAGTTTTCTAACTAATAATAATTAAGAAAACGCTACGTTTTCAGCCACCTTAAAGTTTCCAATAAATAAGTAATAAGATGAAGCATTACTTGAATCGCGGCCGCCAGTTGGGTGTACGTAGTAGTGTCTGAACGGCGCAGGCTAGGTTCACAAATCCGTAACACATGAGAAAAAACATGGAAAGTAGCGGCGCTAGGTAATCGACGTTACCCAAAAGAATTCCACACTGGCAAATAGCAACGGTTAGTACAAGGGCTCGGGTTGGCTCGCCTCTACTCGAGCTTTTGGCAAATGGCCGAAGAAAGGGTATTATGCCGTCCTTAGCAATTGCTTGGAGAAGTCTCGGAGCACCCGTTAGCGACTGCAAGCCAGCTCCAAGTGTCGATAGGAAAGAGCCGACGAGTATGACCCATTCATTTGGCCAAGCGATGTTCGCCACGACGAGTTTACCACCGATACTTTGGCCGAATTTGTCACGTAGCAAGAGGTTGTCAACCGTACCAGCAAATAGCAGTACGCACGAAAGATACACTGTCGAAGTCGTTAAAATAGCGCAGATAGTACCAATGGGGATGGACTTTTGAGCATCGGCCAAGTCACCGGATCTGTTAGAACCAGCCATAATGCCTATGCAAATCGGTATTTTAAAATTTTCAATAATTAAAAGATTTTCATTGTATTTCCTTGTAAAAGTATTATTAAAATCTGTGCAATAATTTAACTTATTGATCTTACCTGTAACAGAAGGAAAGAAGATACCAATTAGAATAGTAAACGTTGTTGTCAGATCAACTTGAATTTGATTATATGACTTTCCTCCCATAAAATCGACATCTCTTGGCGCTGATCCATATGCGATGTATTGACCTTCCTCTTGGAAACTACCCAGAATATTTTCTAAATTCCAAGCATTTTTTTTATAAATTTTTAAACACAATAGTTTTAAAAAATATAATATTATAAGATAAAATGTAATATATATATATATATATATATATATATATATATATATAGAAAATTAAAAATGTTTATATTTAGCATTTTAATTAAAAAGCACCTCTCGAAAAGTTACTTTAAATTATTCTTCCACTTTTTTACATTTATCAAATATTTATTGTTTAAAAATATGCCAATAAAGGTGAGTATTATAAGATAAAGGTAATGGGATAAGTTATTTATGATCTCTAAAATAATAATTGTCATATAAATTTAGTTATTTGTCTTATTTTGCGTGATCTTCAGTTTTCATATAAGTGAGTTTTGACATCATATATACATAAATATGACGTAAATAGATTACTTTAAGATTTTTATGATATTCTTTCAACTAATAATAAAACTTAGATTATTTCTTTTAAAGATGGGCAACAGTAATTGGCACTGTTTATGAAAATATCATAAGAAATTTTATCTTTCTAAGACATTTAAATTAACGATGCACAACTTATGTTCAATTACTGTTTTATTTTTTATTATTTAATGTATTTTTTCTTATTTTTTGTTATTTAACCATTTTTATGTAATTTTATGATCAATGCTAAGTTACATTTTTTTACATCAATAAAATATAACACAATAAGCTCTAATTTATATATATATATATCAAGTATAATATGTTTATAAATATAAAAACTTATTTTATAAAATATTAATTCAACCTCTCATATTTCATCAGCATAACTCAAAAAATGAAAAAATTATACTAATTTTGAAGAACGTATAAAAATTGCTTATTTTAAATGAATAAAGTTAAAGCCTAATCGACTCATTGGTTATTATATATATTATTATTATTATATTATTATTATATACTCATTTATTTACTTAATACCGTAATATATCAACACTTACAATTATTGTTTTATAAAAAATTGTTTATATAAATTATAAAGATAAATAATATTCTTTTATTAATTTAATATTTTTGTGTTATTATGACATATAAAATTATTTAATTTTGAGACTATAAAAAAGAACAAAAAAAATAATATTTTAATGTTGCTTGGATTAGCAATAATAAGAAAATACATTTTAATCACAAAATTTTTAAATAATTAAATAATAACATTAATTTAATTAAATGAAAAACCAAAGTATAAATAATAAAATAAAATAATAATGAAGCGTGAAATAATCAAAGTAAAAAACTAGTAACTACCTGAAAAACAGATTTTCTAGTGTGATAAATAAATAATAAAATGAAGTAGATATGGAAAAGTTATATCAAATGTGTATCAACTCCAATTTCAGCTACCTATATTTACCGCAGCAATTCATCTTACTTATGAAAATATTCTTATTACTTCATCATTATTTCTGGATAATTTTCATTCTGAACATTTAGCAAATAGTTAAACGTTTAATTCTCGTCTGAAATGTTGTGCCAATTTTATAATGTATTTGAATCACTGAAAACATTTCGTTTACAGACATTAATTTATATAAGTTTAAAATTATTATTTTATTTTCTGCGATTCTTTTTATGTTTATTATTTACATACAAATAATTTCAATATAGCAAATATTTTTTCCAGACTTATTAATTTTTTTATAACATACTATTAATATTTTCTTTATAGTCAAAATATATTGTATATTATTATATAAAAAAATTAATTGAAATTAATATATTATTAAATATGAATATTTTATTCATTTTAAGTATACATTATTATATATTAGATTTATTTAACAAAATAATAACTTATTTTTTATATAATTTTCTATAATTATTTTATAATATTAAAAGTATAATTTAAGCTGAATATTCAAATAATTAGTCTACTGAAATAACCAACGTATTAAGATTTATCATTTATTTTTATGTGATACTTGATTAATGAAATCAAAGAATTATTTGAAATAAGATATTAAATATTAATGTATTGCCCAGAATTTTTATTCAATTAAAAATGATATTAAGTTTATAATTCAATTTTTAATTATTATTATTTTTAATTGTAAGTAAAAGTGATTGTGGGTACTCAAATAATATTAATTAAAATAGTTCTGTCTTCTAATAAAGACTCACTTTATTAGCAGAATCCTCTTGTCGATCATATAAAATTTAAATTTAATTGAAAAGTAGATAAGGAATGGCTTATCACATTCGATAAAGCCTTTCTTTATATTCACCTAAAAATACGCCACTAGCCAGTCCACGAAGACCATTACGGATAGTCACGTTGTTCTGTAGATAATAAGGATCGCATTGATCGCCCCTAACGCTTGTACAAAAGGTTTCGTTTAACCCGGGAGAGTATTTGCTACAATTAGCTATTACATTAATATCTTTCAGTAATCTCGTACCAAGAACGCAAATCCTGAAAAAAGCAATCAGAGAAATTTTTAGCAGTATATAGCGGAAATAAATGTTATAATCATTATGGATTTATTCGAATACGTCCATACATTTCGAACTGCAATTTGCTTCTTGTAATAAATAATTAATTTGATTAAAAACTATACATAAATTATGTATTATGCTCTACAGAATTAATATAGTATCATATTTCTTCAAGTTAAAGGTTCTTTATTATAAAAATAATTTTCTACATTTTTTTACACATTTTGTGAAGATTATTAAAATTTATATTCTTGTCTACTTTTAACTACTACTTTTGAAATTTTATTAATATTTAAGATTACTTGGATTCATCAGGATACTTCCAACAGTTTACAGAAAATTATTAAATTTTTATATTTTTATAAATTATTAAAATGAAATATTGTAAATATTTGTATATTATTTATATTTCATAACTTAATTTTATAATATATAGATTTATATATACATAATTTAAAAGGAAATGACAATTTAAATTTTATGGAAATATATATGAATATCGTATTTGTACTTAACAAATATATAAAAATAAAACATATTTTTTATTATTTCTATTACGTACATAGTTCTTTTATGTGAAATTATTGGTTAATGAATATATAGTAAAAAGAATTTCTATTAAATAAATATTCAATAAGTTATACTGTTGTAAGATATATTTTAGTACATCATAAAAATAAACAGCTTGAAATAAATAAATTTTTCATTTAAAATACTTAAAATATCAAACAATAATAATTTTTTACACAAATGTAAGTTGCGTACTTTGCGTACTTAAAAATAATATTTTTTAATATAACTTTTATAGTATAACTTACTTCAATTATTTAAATTATATATATCTATAATAAAAAGTATTTTATCAAAGATAACTTTCGAATGAAAAAATCTTTTCATAGCTTCCATTATTTTATAGAAATACAAATCTTTACTTACTTTAATTTGTCACTGCCATTGAAATTATAAAACAGTCCGACATACACCGCAATAATGGAAAATATAACACAAGCTAGAGCCACCGTTGCAAATTTATTGACAAATTTAACACCAACAAAAACTATCGTCCCCATTACGATTAACAAACATGATCCATATACACGAAAGTTATTGTACATAATGCTTGCATCCTTTGTGAAGTCTCCAAAAATACTTAGTGATGGCGCCATGTATGTCTAAAAACAATTAAAATTAACATTAAAAATGAAAATTAAATAATACTGTGATTGGCGATTATTAAAATATTAATTTTTTTAATATTTACATGAGGAATATTTACTGCAAAAATTTATAGAAATATATAGAATATAATAGTATTAGTAATAATAGCAGTATTACTAATAATTAGTATTACTAATAATAGCATTAGTTAAGATTTTAGTTTAGTTAAATTGTTATGAATATTGCTACGTAAGCTTAAAGTACAGGTTACGTAAAATGTTATATTGCCAAACAAGACTTTTAACAGATTTTCTTTTGAATCACAGTTTTAAACTTTACAATTACAAAAATTTGCAAACATCAAAAATATTATTCCGATTTTATGTCAAACCTTAATTTTGAACATAAATTTTTCAGTAAACATTTTATATAGTAATAATTTAAAAATTTATTTATAATAAAATAAAATGTGTTTAAAGTGAACTGAACATAAAATAGACATAATCATAACGCGATCAAAATTATATTTGATATTGTACAGAATCTTAAAACACAAAAATGAAATTGTTTATAATTTTGTGTTCCAAATATTACAATAATAATTTAATAATTTATATTTGAAATTATTTTATCTAAATTATTTACTTATATAGTAATGTAAAATTAAGATTATTTAATAATATATTTGATATATTTTTATTAATGCAATGATGACAAAATAATATTTACGTAAATTCTTTTTGTAATAATGATTTGAAAAATATTCGAATAAATGGATATATTCGAATAATTATTCGTCTGATTATATAGTAATTAAATAATAATTATGAGATATCTCTTCCTTATAAAGTTGGAGCATTATTCGCGATAGTTTTGTAGTATTTAATTACTTGTGTTACAAAACTATAATACTGAATGTTCATTATATTATATTATATGTTAATTATTTATACGCTAGTTTATATGATAATGTTTTATATATTATATTATATTTAATTATGCTAATAGTTTTACAAATTAAAAATTTAAAATTAAATATGTTTAATATTAAATATAGTATCTAGCTTTAAGTGAATAAAAGAAAAATAATTTTTTTAAATGATATAAAAATGATTGTTTTTAACCATTTCACAATATTTGTAAAAGTTCTAATATTTGAAATTTATCTTACTTATACATCAAGGAACAGGAAAATATAAATAATTGATATTCTTTCATTTATGGATCGAGTATTATAACAAACTGTTATACTAGAATTTGATCTCTTATTATTTCGTTTTAAAATTCTATTTTTAATTTTCAATTTTAATTTATTACATCTCTTATTATACTTTAAAATCAACAAAAATAATTCTTTTTTATACTTAAACTTATAGATATTTTAATATTTAAAATAAAGTATCTTGTTAATTCATAAATTAAAAAAAAATGAACTAATGTACGTATTCAAATTATATGTTATTAAGATAAAAAACATACAAAAATTTTAAAATGAGTTAAAGCTTTTTTGAAATATACAAGTTATTAGTTCGGTAAAAAATTTGTTATAATATTATTTTTAATAATAAGGGGAGTGATATACTAGAACAATTTCAACAGCTCCGATGATATACATGGCGGCAGCAAGGGTCGTCCCCGTGTAGAACAGCATCCCCACGGCTCCGCCGAACTCAGGACCCAAGCTTCGAGATATCATAAAGTAGGAGCCACCTGCTGGTACTACACCATTCGTTGCTATAGCACTCATACTGATTGCTGTTAACATAGTCTGAAATATAAAACGAGATCTAATGAATTTCTACATAATTTCGTTGAACGGTATTTAAGTAAAAATACAAAAATATATTCAATTTGTAATAAATTTTTCTTATTCTTATGAATTTCATTTTTAGTCTTACATATTATAATTAATAAATATTTTCATTCGAAAAGAAAAAATTTAAGTACTAGTTGAAATAACCTATTCCTTTAAATTAAGAGAACAAATTTGGTATAAATAAATGCAACAGGCATAAGAACGGATTGAACTTACTTTAAGCTTATTAGGCCAAAGGTTAATTATATAGTTTTATTTCACTTTGCGAAAGATCATAAAATATAGCAAGGCTTACGAATCTGTTTCATTTAAAAAATTATAGAATATTCTTTTCCTAATTTTTAATTGTATAGGGTAGCTTGCTCCTAATCCCGGTATATTTAATGAAATATTAAGAAATAACACGGTTTCATTATCTCTAATTTATCTTTAAAATCATTGGTTTTAGTTGATTCACAGTTTTGTTTCTATATATAGATAAAGGACGAATCGAGAAGATTACGGGATACCTACAACACAGCAGCAACAGAAGACGATAAGGAAGCCTTGTATGGCACCAGCGGTGCCGACGACCCATGTTAGTCGAATGAAAAGAATAACGCCAAAGATATTCTGTATGCAGGGCAGAAAGACACCGATAAGTGTTCCCATGCGAGCGCTTTCTGATTTACTAGAGGCTGCCGACACAGGCTTAGCATCCGGGTCCGTCGGCGCCGGTATTGTGTTGCTATAGTCGGACAGACTGTTAAGGATCGTTGCAATTCTTGGCCTGTGGTCAAAGTCCTCCTATAAAAGATTAATAACCATCAGTAATATTAGTGACTCTCTCTCTCTCTCTCTCTCTCTCTCTCTCTCTCTCTATCTCTCTCTCTCTCTCTTATACATCTTTTCTTTTTTCTTTTACCTGTGTTTTATTATTTAATTATACATTATTGCTCATGCTAATTTTATAAGGATTAGCAATGATTTATACCTTAGATTTGGTTTACTTACAGAGAAACAGTAGCCTTGACCTGTTCTGTGTTGAACCTTCCAGCATCCCGAATGCTCTGTGTTGATGATTAGTTTAACTATTTCGGATGCTCCGTGTGGATGGATTAACTGTGGTTGTAATCTAGCACTTTCTTGATTTGAAAGGGATAGTGTCAACTCTTTTATCTTGCAGTACAGGAGAATAGAGGCGTCTTCCTTCCTCGATGGCCTTACCTTGAGAGTGTGCAGTGAATAGCTAGCTGGTTGACTAGCATGACTGACTGACTTGCAGGCTGAGTAACTATAAGAGCCGTCTCGTAGTGTGCTTGCTTTAAATATCCACGTGGCAGCTTACTTAGCTGGCAACAATGCATAAATGTTGCAATGCGGAAAACATTGCAGAACGTTCGAGTCTAATGCTTTAGAAATTTCGAGAATTCCGGGAAATCAAAACTTTAGAAGGGAGGAGAAGTCCAACCGATGTTGCTATGCGGAGACTAGATAAATATTCTACAACGCCTGAAGGTAAAGCTTTGGAATATTCGAGAATTCCCGGAGTCAATGCTTATAAAATTAGAAGTCTTCTACATTTCCGAGAGCCTAAGTTCTTGGAAAATGTTCCAATTCCGAACCTTTCGCCCGTCATCAACGATTTAGTTGATGATTATTCTCTCCCTCAGGGATTTGTAGTACTGCAAGTTTGTGTCTAGCCGTAACTATAGTTGTTGAAGCTATTTTTAATGTGACTGCTTTATCACTCTGTCCTTGCCAGGATATATGTTAATAACTTTCAATTCTTGCGAAAAGTGTGTTGATTGAATGAATATCCTTGCTTTCTCCAAGGTATCTATGCTAATCTGCATAGTGGGGGACTTATCAATATCTTTTTTTAATCGTATGGTAAATATGAGACAGAGTGCTGTCGTTCGCAATAATTTTTTGAGAATTGAGTGTCTATGGATCATGTCCCATTGTTATTGCGTCTTAGATACTGTAGCTAATAGTACAGCTCTGGGACGTACTTCCTGTTCACATTGTACTTCGTTCAATAGAGGCTGGGTTGGGTTTGACTCAAGTGAGTTTATCCATGGGGGTCCGGTCCTCCATAGTAGATGTTCTTGAAGTTGGCAGGCATTTATACCTCGTGAGGCGCAATCCGCTGGGTTCAACGTACCAGGAACATATCTCCAGTAGACATCTGAAGTGAGATCCTGAATGTTTGAAACCCTGTTCCTCACAAGTTCCTTCCATCTTGATGGATGGAATTTTATCCCCGTGAGTCTGTCCACAGATGTGTTGCTCTAACGTCCGTCTTTAGTTTGGCTAGGATGTAATGCATATTTTGATAAGAACAGTGCTGCAGCTAGTCCCAATCTTGGGATAGTGATCTGTTTAAGGGGTGCCACCTTAGTCTTGGAGCACACCAAGGAGGTCGTTATACTATCCGAGTCGTGGACGGAGATGTATATGACTGCTGAAATGGCGAATTGAGATGCATCAGAAAATCCATGTAGCTGTATGATCATTTCTATATTTAACTAATATGATATTAATATCTCAGTTAATTTGGCGAGATCCTTTCTGATAATTGGCCATCGTGAATAAAGCTGCAATGGCAGCGTTTCGTCCCATTGGATCTTATGTAGCCACAGCTCCTGCATTAATATTTTAGCCTTCATCATGATAGGTGAAACAAAACTTAATGGATTAAATATCTGGACTATTTCAGATAAAATGAGACGATCGGTAGAATTGTTTATTCCCACAGAATTTTTTCCTATCGTGAATGCTAATTTTTCATGCTTTGGAGACCATCTTAATCCAAGTATTTTAATAGCGCAAACATTGAATCTGATTGGAGTGTCATTTTGGTCCGCATTGAATGCGGTCATCACATCTGGATGTGTTGCATATCATTTCCTACTAATATATTATGGTAATATTTTGAAAAATATATTAAGCATCTTGAATAGGCCCAAATCAAGAAAACTTAAATATACATTAGAGAAAACTCAATTTTTTTTCTTTATTTCAACATATCATAACTTTTTACGTTGTCTGACAATATTGCAGAGCGTGTAAAATAAACCTATGCTTTTAAAAAACAAAATAATAATGTAAGTTAAAAAAACTCTTATTTTTACATTAAAAATTTTAAATAGATAGACAATTTTCTTTACTTGTATATTCATATTCAAAATATTGATATGATTTTTTGCTGTTTTTGTATTAATTTAAAAGCAGTATTTCTCTTTTTTTATGAATAAATAATTTTCTTACCACATAACGTTTAACATCAGAATGTATGATGCTATAAATACTAATCTCACTCAATTATAAACTGTTTAAGTTGTATTGAAAATTATTCTATATAATAAAACTTATGTAAATCTTTTTATTAAAATTCAATTGATTAAAGTATAATATTTTATACAAAATGTAATCTTTTCTAGCGCTATTATTTTATATTTTTTTACATTATAATTTATTCTATTTTAATAATTTTAATTTTTTAATAATTTTATAATGACAAGACGAAAGTGTGAATAATTTCTCTCATTGAAAGTAAAATTTTAAATGAAATTTTTTTATTATATCTCGTTCAAATTTATAAAATTTGAAATATGAACAATTGTTTTAAACACTAAATAGATAGATGAAGTGAAGTTTAATTTTTTTTGTTCAATGTTTTTCTCTGGTATTAAAAGTTCTAAACTTATAGGAATGCATTTATGAAGTACCAGAGTACTAATATAATAATTACTTATTTTTCAAAAAAGTAGGGCCCATATTATAAGTATAATGTCTAGAAAGACATGAAGGCTCATTGCTTACGTGTTTTCGAATGAAGTGTTACGAATATATATTAGATTTTTATTCAAGTACAAATGAAATACTCTTCAAATAATTCTTTCACATTTTAATCCATTAATTATTTTAATATAAATTATACATTACATAATCATGTAACTAAATCTGATGATTTTTCTTTGCTTAAAGTGTTAAAGATAATATTTATGATATATTTCACACGCTTAAATATTATAAATTTTTGACGAAATTTATTTAAAAAAACAATTTATATATTATTTTCAATAGAGCATTTATTGAATACCTTAAGTCCTGTACTTATTATATGACGTAATAAAAATTTATTCTCTTTTTCAAATTGTATAATGTCTTCCAGAAAATATCTAATTATATGTATGTATTCCTTTATTTTTCTTATAAGATTTTTCGTTTCACTAAGTTTTTACTAAAATGAAAATGGTCATACATTATTTTTTTTAGTTATTTTTTTATAAATTCGAAATTATTTCTTATTTATAAATTATTTGTTCAAAATTTATTTATTTACTTCTGGTACACTGTGGATTCATTACAAAATTTGTGAATATATTATATAAAGGAATATTTTATCATAAATTAAATTATTACAATATATTATTTTATTGGAAGTATAATATACTCAATGGTTCATCGAATTCAATTTAGTAAATACATTTTGTAGTTAAATAATTGACTTCATGCTATTTAAATTATTCTACTGCTTTCTTTATATATTTATACATATTTAATAAAATATTTGAATGACTATTTTTTATAGTTATTTATAATACCGATACACTATACCTATTTATTTTATATATATATTTCTTTATTATAAATTATCATGTATCTTTTTTTTATATTATATTTTAAAAACTTCATCGTATATATATATATATATATATATATATATTTCATATATATATGTAATAATACTTACAATATATAAAATTTTTTTAATAAAATAATGTTTTATGTACAATTGTATTTATAAAATTCAACAAAAATACCTTGGATTTTGCGTGAAACATTGTTTTTATTTTACCGAATGTCTTTCTTCTAGTGATACCATTGATACATCTTAATTTGATTGCATATCCTTAATAGTTTTACGACAATTAATGAATATTACATTTTTAACCTATAAAATCGTATAATTTTATATTGAAATCGATAATTCAATTGTAATAGCCAGCACAAAGGTACATTAAATGTACAATATACATAAGTTCAATTTAAATTATTTGAATTGTGGGCATTTATAAATATAAGTACTTCTTTCTATTTCAAGTACATATGTATTATCAACATTGTTACTATAAATACATTATAGACTTAACGAAATATGTTACGTATACAAATATTTTCAAAGATTGATAAAACTATTGAAAATGTGAAAGTAATGTACAACCGATTTGTCAAAACTATAATATTAGGAGTAATAAAATATTAAATATGTCTAAAATACAAGATTGATAGGAAAGGAGTAATAAATATATTAAAAATTTACCTATAGCAAACACAAAGATAATAATAATATTAAATTAACTTATGTGTAAGATAGAATAAAATATTAATATCAAAAGTATGTAGAATAAAGAATAAGAAAAGAATTTTAAATTCTTTGTAAAATTGCTTTTTATTTTTTCAGAATTTTATTCCATTCACACGGCGTCGAATACAATGATGAAGTTAAGTGAAATTCGATCAGCAGCTTGATGACCTCGGTAGTTTAATAATAGATAATGAAAATATCCCGGTATCTCTACTTCATTAAAAAAAATAGACTTTTTGTGTTTACAAGAAAAATATGTAACTGTGTAAAAAAGATATATATATATATATATATAGGAGTAAAATATGTGAGTAACCAATTTTAATTAAAAAAAGGCAAAATCACGAACTCATGATCTTGTCCAATTTATCTAAACGTTAAAAATATATCACTGTTTTAATAAGTTTTACATTGGTTCATTTTATTTTTTATTCTACCCGAAATTCCGAAATAATTGTATTTTATTTTATATTATTTTATATTAATTCTAATAAAGATTTAGGTTAATTAAGATTCCACTTCTTTTATTATTATTATTTTAAAAGTTATTGTGTTACTGAAATATAAATTTAATAGCGCGATTGTTCGAGATTGTGAGAATCTTTCGTATATTTTCATTTGGGAAAAAATCTCAACGGCTCTCATTTAATGGAAATTAGTCATCGGTCATAACTTCTAAGAATTGTTGAACGATCGTCAGAGGTGCGGAAAGGTCCTGCAATGATCGGCCCCCTTGTTTTTAGCTATCAAGGATGCCGCGGGACATTTGTGCAAGATACTAAGAATATTTCGAAAATATCAGATGTATAAAAACAATCGAGTCGATAAACATTTCCGAAAATCGTTGTAGCTAGAGTTCTGGGAAACCCAGCTCACTCGACATCGGGCAATAGTCGTCACACGCAGTGTTTAGAATGTAATGGAACACCACGCATCCATTATTGTCAAGTACACCACATGTTGCCGCTTGTACAGTGCCCTGCATACATGAAACTTCAAAAATTCAGCAATACCTTGCATCAATGCATACTAGACTGCACGTGGTTCTATACTAAGGGGAAATCATTGTTTTACGACCTCCCATTTCTCCACATAGACTACTGCGAACAAGAACATAATTTCATTGGTAATCGGAGAATTTCGATCTCCTACCTCTCTGTGGTATACAAATATAAAAATGGTAACCAAGGAAGCTGTGACAGAATCAAAGAACATTTAGACTCCTAAAACTACCATCGCATCAGCAAGGGAAGGCACACTTAGAAGTGCCTCACCTTCACAATTGCCCAAGGAGCTCATTTTAAAATTAAAAATAGGATTAAATCGCATCACAATATTGAAGATTCTGGCTGAGAGATTTACTTCATCGCACCACAATGATACCGTGGAAGAACTTTCTGACGCATACTCGTACGCCGACGAGACCCACAAGGCCTTCATCAAAGAACACACGTATATGGAGATGACTTAACCATATGCTCAGTGATTACGAATATTTTGAAAATATTATCTATGTTGAGGAATCCTCATAATACATGACGACGCGAGCAATAATCAACAACCTTCGTCAAGCATACACGACCGAACCCAACAAGACATCAGCATCGCCATCCAAAGTACAATCAAACGGGACGCGACTTCCATTACTAAACCTTCCCAAGTTTTTTAGAAGACAGGAAGACTGGTGTGGATTCAGTCACTTCTTCATGGCATTGGTCATGGAAAACAATGATATTAGCAAGGTTGAAAAGTCACATTATCTCAGCACTTCTTTAGACGAGTCAGTACAACAATTAATCGCAGGAGTCCCTCTGACAAAGGAATCACTAACTCTGGCCAGGGAGCTGCTCACCGAACGTTACAATAA